GATTGGAAAGTTCTATTTATTCTACTTTTTAGAGCTCATTTTTTGAAACTTATGTAAACTGATCACCAGTATTATATTAAGAGTTGATTAGGAGCCTTTCCATACGGCTGAGCTGACGCAGTCCACCCATTTTTTTTTAAAGCTGGCAAAACACCATGTTGTTATGAAAGTTACTATCCTCCCTGTTGACCCCGGCCTCTAATTGATGACAAATAAGTGACAAAGCCTAACAGATTTTATACAGCTGCAGACTGCTGTTGGGCTGTTTCAGAACAAGGGGAGAAACACCAAAATTGGTACTGTTACAGCTAAGGGTGACTTAATTTTTTTATGGGAAAAAGATGAAAGCCGTGATATGGGGATACAGCAGAACAAAGACACTGCCAAGGCACGTTTGAATCATGGTTAGGTGCAAGCAGAAAAAAGCAGCGTCTTTTATGATGGAATGCCCCCTTCTATCTTAGTGGAGAAAGAGATATGGTGTATTGTGTCTTTGGGCTTTATTTCCTCTGTTTACTTTGTAATAAAAATGTTCCATTCCGTTCCATCTGAAGGCCATGTTACATATCAAAACTGGTCAGAAAGTAAAACAATCCGATATAAACAGGAGAGAAAGGGAATCATAGTAGCCACCAGTCAGCATAGAATGCTCTATATCTCCCTTGGTTTTTCATTTAATGTTTTTCATGCTGTAAGGTTCTGTTTAAAAAGAAACAATGGTTCCACCCCACAAAATGGCCTTCTGGATGCCCCGATTTTCACCTTCATTGTTCCTGGGGCACCATCAGAGCAGAAACCTTACCGATGAGAGGCCCCACAACTCTCCAGGTTATTCTCTTCAGAGGGTCGTACCATTTTCTCCAAGCAGGGGTGTCAAACTCAATTTCATTGAGGGCTGCATCAGGGTTGTGTTTGACCTCAGGGTGGGGTGGAGGCGGGTGGGTGTGGCCAGGGTAGGCACGACTGGTGTGGGTGTTGCCAGCTTGACATCACTCATGTCGGGGGCACCTGTGGTGGCCCCAGCAGGGCTGGGGGGGAATTCTCCTCCCACCCTCTGCCAGCAAAATGGAGCCTGGGAGGGCTGTGTGGGCTCCAAAGGATCAGAGGGTTATGTGCATAATGATGTTACAACATAGTCTAGAAATGCTTTCAAAAACTGCTTTTGTGCCAATAGATATTGGATTAAAGAGTTTATTAAAATGGTTCAACAGGGAGTTTAAAAACATAAAGCGGGGGCATTGACAATGGCTTGGCTTCCCAAAACCAGGATATAATAAAACTGGATATAATGAACTGGAAAATATATTTTGCAAAATGCTTTTTGAAAGATGACAATGGAGATTCTCAGTCATCCAGGTTGTCCCAAAAGTGCTTTTTCAAAAGGCAACTGGATTTTATTTTTCCCTGAAGTTAGAACTGAAGATGCTTCTTGGATGAGAAGTGAAATGTCTTCAAGGAAAAATAAAGCCCAGTTGCCTTTTGAAAAAAGCACCTTTGGGATTTTTTGCAAGATGAATAATTCTGCAAATCTGTTTGGAAGAGCCAAAAGTACTGAAAAATATTTATGGGTAGAGGTAAAAATGTCAGTGTATATGGATGAAAGACCAAGAACTAAGTGAGTTTTCCTTTCCTTGAACAATACTAATATAATTGGATTGGAACAACAGTTAGTGTATAGAGAATTTGGGTAGAGGATATACTATATGTGACTAACTAGGCTGAAATTCATTAACAATTTGGGGAACCACAAAGTCTGCGAATTTCTCAAAATTATTTGAGACTCATTCTAATGAAACAGACATGATTCTTGTCATCATGCATTCAGAAGGCGGCTTTCAAACAATCCATAGCTACCAAGTGTATTATATGTAATAACTATAAATACCAAATTCATTTACTGCAATATAAGACAGAAGACAGTGTTTACTTGGCAATTTTTAAAATACAATTATATACGTTTGTGTGTGTATATATAAAGGTAAGGCTTTTTATTTACATAAACACTAGATATGATAAAGCTATTGTCTTTGTACACAATAAATTATTACAGTTTTGAAAGATTACATAAAAGCAGAACATATCAGTTGTTTTCATATGGAGTTACCTGTTCATGTCTTCCCAAAAGTAAGCGGGACTGTTATTAAACTTAATCTCCCCTCCCAACCAATGACAAATAAGCAAACAAAAAGGACCATATCTCCATATTTCTTTTTCATGCTAGAAAAAAATCACGTGACTATTGTTAATGGTACTGAATAGTGTCATATGTGAGACTTGCAAGGTTGGTGGAATCGTAAGAGGTGAATTTGTTTACTTTTAATAATGTTGAGTTCCCTCTCTGAGGGAAACCGATGGAATCTCCCTGGTTTGGGGTTGCTTTACTTTGCCAATAGATTTAAACATCAGCCGCTCCAACGCTCCAAGCTACACTACGAATGTGGTTTTTTCCAAAACAGAGAAAGAGAGGAGGAAACTGGGAAATACTGAGTTTTCTGACAATAATTTCAGATCCCTGAAATACGCCCTCCAAAGTCTGTTTATTTGGGACAAAGCCATTTCAAATAGTTCCTGCCCATTTTCACTTGCCTTAAAGCAGAGTTGAAGATATGAAAAACGCCTTCATTGGAATGTAAGACATACACTACAGGAAAAGAATTAGATGGTTTTGACCTAAATAAATAAATAAATAAGCCCTAGGTGAGTAACCTCAAGATGTGTATATACCAGCAATGGCTAACCTTTCCGTCCTTGTGTGCCCAAAGTGCATGCGTGCATGACCCCCAGGGGTGGGATTCAAATTTTTAACAACCGGTTCTGTGGGCGTGGCTTAGGTGGTGGGCGTGGCTTGGTGGTCATGTGACTGGGTGGACATGGCTTGGTGGTCATGTGAATGGGTGGGAGTGGCCAATTCAGCATCATTCACATCAAGACACGCATCTCCTCGCCTGCCCTCTCATGACTGTGGGGATGTTGCAACAGTCGTAAGTGTGAAAAATGGTCATAAGTCACTTTTTTCAGTGCCATTGTAACTTTGAATGGTCACTCCACACAAGCAAAGTACCAGTAAAGGAGGGGAAAAAAACTCCAGAGAAGTTCCTGAGACAGGAAGTCTAGTGCTGCCAAGAATGTAATAAGGGTTAACGGAGAGGCAGTTTCTGTAAGCAACACCAGAATGTTTCCTTCCTGCCTTCCTTACAGGATTAGGCCAGTAATTTCTTCTAACAACCGGTTCTCCGAACTGCTTGGAATGTTAACTGGTTCTAGCGAATAGGTGCGAACTGGTAGAATCCCACTCCTGATGACACCCCCCCCCCATGCACACCACGCATCTCTGCACGTGTGCATGACCTCCCCATATGCACTGTGCATTTCTGCACATGCATATGCATCTCCTGTGTGCCCCTGCACATGCGCAGCAGCTACCCGACAATCAGCTGTCGGGTGGGTGGTGCGCGTGCCTGCGCAGTGGACTTGCTCTGGAGCAATTGCTTGCATGCTGAAGGAGATGGCTCTGCGTGCCACTTCCGGTACACGTGTCATAGGTTCACCATCACGGGTATATACAATAGGGTATCAGATCCAGTCTGCAAAAATCTAGGTGGCCAGTAGATGAAAGGGGTTTTTGTATCTCTCTGCTGACATCTTGTGGTTGCCTTGGTTTTTGCAGCCAAGATCTGGTAAGCTAAAATAAAAGTTAAAATCCAGGTAGTCCTCAGTTTATGAGGGCAATTGGGACCAAATATGCCATCAGTAAGTGACACAGTAATAAAGTGAGGTGTTGCTGGCTGTGTTGCTTAGTGACAGCAATTCCAGCAGCCCCAGTTCCCATAGTTAAATGAGGCTCACGTGGGTTGTTGGATGAGGACCTTGTATGACTGTTAGCTTTGAATTCTCCATTGACTTTGCTTACGGGAAGCCAGCAGAAAATGTTGGAAATCAAATCACATGATTGTGATTGACTGTGACATTGCAATTGCGAGCCAGGAGCTGCAGTCGCATGATTGTGGGGATGCTGTGACAGATGGAACGGTGAGGACTGTCATGAATACCATTCATTGAACACAGGCTGAACTTTGAAAGGTTGCTGAACAAATGGTTGTAACTTGAGGACTCCCTGTAAAGAGTTGATTTTGTTGTGCATCCTTCTTTTCAAATAATTCTGTGAATTTAACTTTTTGAGTGTAGATCTGTCTAAACCAAGGGTCTCCAAACTTGGCAAGTTTAAGACTTGTGGACTTCAACTCCCAGAATTCCTGAGCTAACATGACTGGAGGAGGAATTCTGGGAGTTGAAGTCCACAAGCCTTAAAGCTGTCAAGTTTGAAGACCCCTAAACTCTCTAATTCTCAAAGTTGTTGGGAGAAATTAATTAGCTAAACTGGCAAAATGTATTGTTTAACTTAATCCTTTGCAAGGTTCCTTAGAAGTAAGACCCAATGCAATAAATGGGTCTTACTCCCAGGATTGCAGCCTAAGCTTTGCAACTTCAACTGTGCAGATTTGACGCTCTGAATTCTAGAAGAACAATTAGTTTTTTTACCTACTGATATGGATAAAGGTGCCTAGATTATATTACTATATATGCATATGAACATAATGGGATGGTAGATAGGACTGTTAATCTCAGGGGCTGCCACAAAGAAGAGGGAGTCAAGCTATTCTCCAAAGCACCTGCGGGCAGGACAAGAAGCAATGGGTGGAAACTAATCAAGGAGAGAAGCAACTTAGAACTAAGGAGAAATTTCCTGACAGTTAGAACAATTAATCAGTGGAACAACTTGTCTCCAGAAGCTGTGAGTTCTCCAACACTGGAAGTTTTCAAGAAGAGATTGGACAGCCATTTGTCTGAAGTGATGTAGGGTTTCCTGCCTAAGCAGGGGGTTGGACTAGAAGACCTCCAAGATCCCTTCCAACTATGTTATTCTATTCTAATATTTGAGGGGGTTAGGATGGCCTATGTAATGTGATTTCAGAAATCTGCCCCAGAAAGTGTTTTTTTGAAGATCTTTCTCGATTAAGCTATTTTTGCCTTTATTTGTTTGACTGTTTTAAACAATTGGCATTGTTTCTGCTTTTTATGAAGCTAATTATACAAAAACAAGGACAATAAGCAGGCAATTCTTTAAATTGAGCTTATTCACATATTTTCATCAGGTTTCGCTCCAGGAAACCCAACACCTGTGCTTCCAACCTTATAATCATTTTCCTTCCTTTGTTCTCTAAACCAGACTACAATGACCAGGAGTTTGGCCCACCCATACTTCTTTTTATTTATTAAACTTACATGCTGCCTATCTTGATGAAAGCAACTCTACTCACAGTGAACAATACTGTGAGAACCTGAAAAAAATGTTGCTCCTCTAAGAATCACGTTTACTTTAATGAACTGACTTCTTAAAGCAGCAGTCAAGCCTGAAAAATAATCAGACTGTTTTAAAGAACAGGAAGGAGGTGCTGCGTTTATACAAGGCCTAAGGCAGGGCTGTCAAACTCCCACCTGCGGGCTGGATGCACCTCACGCTGGCCATACCCACGCCCAGTTCAGCGAAGTGGGGGAAAGTCCCAATACGTCAAGTGACGTTGATGTGAGACATGAGTTTGACACCCCTGGCCTAAAGCATTTCTTCCAAATCATTTTTTAAGCTCATGTAGTGCTAGTAGAATGCTGTGGAATAATTATTTAAAAATATCTACAGGAAAATGTTAATTCTTAAAAGTGGTACATACTGAATAATGACACACATGCACTGGAATTGATTTCAGGCCCTCCAGCCTAGGTAAAGAGATGGTTAACTTCTTTTTGCTGGATGAATAGATCTCTCAGTGACCATTTTCTCAAATTTACCTATGTTCCAGAGATCTGTCAGCAAAAAGGACTAATAAAGTGTCAACTTTTTAAGGCCTTATGTACAGCACACAGGATAAACGGCTGATGCACCTGAGGATAAAGTTGCAGTGGTATTTATCTTAAGCTATTCAGAAACGTAGTGAGGCTGCTTGCTTAGATAGCAGCACCAGGTGAATCTAAGGGCTTCATTCATATTTTGTTTGCTCTGAAATCATGCAGGATTCAAGGTATTCCAGAGAGGTCTGTAGAGATTCTCAGTCATCCAGGTCTTGGTTGTCCCAAAGGTGCTTTTTCAGTAAGCAACTGGACTTTCTTGCTTTTTCTTTAAAGACATTTCACTTCTCATCCAAGAAGCTTCTTGGATGAGAAGCAAAATATCTTTGAAGAAAAAAAACTAGAAAGTCCAGTTGCCTCCTGAAAGACCACCTTGGGGACCTTCCAGAGAGGGTATTAACCATTCAAGCAAGGGTTCTTTGCATTTCTCAGGATTTCATTTTAAACAAATCCAGAAATTAAAATACCATGGGAAAGAAAAGTTAGGAGGACATCCTTTTTGTGGACCTGTGAACACAATTGTTTACTGGCATGCTAACTAGACATGGCAACTTATTTTTCTGATAGGATTTTTTGTGATGTTAACAATGCATGACAGGTAGAATTATTAGCAAACAGAAGCTCCTTTACTACAAGTGCTACTTTCTCTTTAACAGAATTATCCTTGCAGCACAGAAAGCTCTGCCAGGAGAAGTAGACAAACCAAACAATAGCCCAATATTTTGCAATACAATCTGGATGTATTTGTACAACCAATCCTCACAGGACATTGTTCCCTGAAGAGGCCATGCCATGTCCTTGAGGCTGATTTTAAGAAAAAATAAACAACCATAACTAAGTGAAATTTCCCTCTACTTGTTGCAATACTTCCCACAACCATAGAAAACATTTAAACATTTTTATGCCATTTTTTCCAAGCGATGAATAGAAACAGAGATGCTTAAGTTATTACAGGTTAAGTCTTCGTTTATTTCAGTGATATATTTTCTTAAGGGAGGTTACTTTTTCACTGTGTATTTGATTTGAAAGGAGATCTTATTACACTGCAGTAAAAACTCTGGGGTCACCTAACATGGACCTGTAGTTCTTTCCTAATCTTTCCAATCTTTCTTAAGGTCCAGTTAGTCCAATATATAGTCTGATACCAGCTCTCATAAGTTCTATTGAGTTTCACAAGCAGAAAATGTTAAGGCACCAACTTGTCTCTGCACATGTGCACTGGAGTATTTTAAGTCATGAGCCACAGTGGGGACAAAATGTTAAATGGATGTGATTGAATTTAAAGCTAGACACTTTCTTTGTCTCTTCATCAGAACAATAAGATATTTTTTCCCCTTTCATACCAGACCAGATCTATCTTAATAAAAAGCCGCATTTCAATTGTAATTTTGATACAGGCCTGCCATTCAAATGACTTGGGTGATAGCATTACAGCAGAGTAAATTATTGTGGATGTCTGTGTGAGGTTTGCTTAAACAGCTAAGAATTCTGTAAAGTATTTTGTATAGTGTTGATCCATTCCAAGACAAGCTGTTGATGATTGTTCTGGGGCCTTATTTCTTTCTTCTCCTCCCCCCACCACATTTGTTTCTCTGCACTTTTTCGCCTCTCTGTAAACATTCCAGTCAAATAAACAGTGAGTATTATAAAGGCTTCATACATGCAGCTAAGTCTGGGCATGACAAAATGGGACGTCTGAATTCAGCAAAGGTAGATCCGCAACGGGCCTTATCACACCTTTTCTTTTTAGGTTTTCTCTGCAAAACCACAAATACCTTTTGCCCTGTCTTTTGAAAAATGGCAATAAAAACAAAATGTTTTCAGCATCACACCTTGGGCAGCAGTGCCAAATGTTTCAGAAACCACGTAAACCAAAAGAACGGCTGGCTTCCGGCAAGGACTGCTCTCCCACCCCACCTCCACAAGGTTGGTGCTCAAGGTCTGGAAGCAGCAGAGAGAACAAACTTGTTGGCTAAGGCCACAGGAAAAAGTTTTCCGGTGTTTACGTTGCTGCTGCCAGCCTTACTCGAGGGTGTATTCACAGTGGACACATTGATCCACATCTCTTTCCTCCAGCCACCAATCATGAGGAAGAAGTCCATGTTATTCCACTCTGGCTCTCTGCTTTGTGGTGTCATAGGATCGAACAACTTGAGACTGAGAAACGACCCCGTGCTCCTCTTGAGAAAAAGCATAACCATCTGGAGGGAGAAGAGGAAAGAGCCGAAAAAGAGATTTGGCGTCAGAGAGAGGTTACAGTCTGTTTTGATGAGAAGAGGAGTGTGCAATCGATGCAATAGGAAAGAAAATCAGAAGCAGTTAAACCCAGTTCAGCTCACACAATTGCAGTCTTTTTTTCTGATGTTCTTTCAGGCTAGTATGCATAACGCAGAACGGAAGGGACCATTATCCCAGCCATAGATCTCTCTCCTAAATTTCAGCAACCGGTTCTCTGCTCAGTTGCTGGGGGGGGCATGGCCATAGTGGACGTGGCCTAGTTGGCCTCCTGCACCATGGCTGGGGGGGGGCATGTTTTCACCCTCCCTAGGCTCTGGAAGCTTTCTTTGAGCATCTGGGAGGGCGGAAACAGCCTCCTCACGTTCTGGAGGCCCTCCAGAAGCCAGAAGTGGGCCCATTTCTAGCCTTCCAGAACTTCTGAGGGGCCCATTTTTTGCCCTCCCTGGGCTCCGGAGGCTTTCCTTGAGGATCTCCAGAGGCTGGAAATGGGCCTTCTGGAACTTCCGGGAGACCATTTTTTTGCCCTCCCTGAGCCTCCATGCAGGCCCTGTACTTACCTGGCATCCAAATTGAGCCACGTGGGGACTCCTGGGAGGGGCCAGCCAGGGGTGAGATTTACCGGTTCACTGAACCGGTAATTAAAAATGATAAAATTAGCTACCGGTTCACCTGAACCAGGGTGAACCAGTTGCAGCCCACCCCTGTTCCTGCCCCTTCATTCATTAGAACAAAAATCAGGAATACTGGCAGATTAAACTTGTCTTCTCCCCAACTCAATATCTTACCTTCTTACCCCATCCCTGTTGGTAACCCAAGGGAGAAATATTGGGAGAACTGAACCACATCCAGAGTAAGAAACGGTGGTACCTCAAACATAACTGCTGCTCAGGGAGCATTAATAATGAACATGATCCCACATCCATTATTTTCAGGGTGAACATGAATCACATACCAATGCATACGGTAGTTTTTAAGTATGGTGTGAGAAAGGTTTCGAGCAGTGTTTCTCAACCGTGGCAACTTTTAAGAGGTGTGGAGTTCTGGCTGGGGAATTCTGGGAGTTGAAATCCACATGTCGTAAAAGTTGCCAAGATTAAGAAACACTACTTTAGAGAGAGCTGGGCCTGCTACCATCTTTTCATTTAAAAAATTAACTCTTTAGGTACTTCCCTATGAAGATTCTGCACCATCATTCGAGAGCAGAGATAATTTTTTTCCCTGCTTCTTCTGCAGTTTATCTGAATCTGAACTACTTCAGATGTGTGTGTAATACACACACACACACACGTATATATTTAATTACTCAGGCTCAGTGAAGTTTGTCCCCTAAAAATCTTAACCTGGAAACCTTTAGCTTTCCCTCACAGGAACTAATAGAATTTTTTTCTCCATATGACTATAAAATTCTACACAACATAGAGAGATGTGATATATGCATTTGTGTAAACAATTGATTTATATGCCTTTTGCATTAAGTAGGAATGTGGGGATCTTTTGCTAATCCAAGATAAGACCCCAACAGGCACAACATAATTTTTGTTCCTTGTTCTTAGCATATGGGCACTGGCAGGTATGAACACAAGAATGGACATTGGGGCGACCAGGGAGTAAAAATGATATTGATGTGCATATGCTCATTTTCACACTTATCTTGCTGGGTAAATTTTTATTTTGTTTCATTTTATCGTAATTTCTTTTCCTTTTTTCCTTTGTTTCTCTCTTACTGCGTAGCCAGTTTTTAGGTCTTTTCCCACTTGCAATGATACAAAGCAAAAGCATGTCCTGATAATATTTCTGTTTTACCGTTACATAAAGTTGCCTATAGAAACTAGATAGCTTATTTCCAATATAATACAAGTTTCTTTTGATTGAAGCTATTGTTAAAAGGAATCTACTGTTTATTCCACTCCCCGCTTTTCTTCATGCTTTGTACTATAACATTATTTGACAAGGGATAACTGAAGTTACTGAGGACTGTGGATCAGTATCAAACATTTTTTTTTAAAAAAAACTACAATAAAAATGAGAAAAACAGACTTATGACTGCAATTATTCTGAACCTGGACTGGCTCCTTTAACAATTCTTCCTGATTAGTACTTATGAGGGATGAGCTAACAGAATTGAATGGATGCCCTCTCCTTTCTCCTTTCTTTGGCTCAGCAAACTGGTGAATGTTATGGGACGACTTTGGCAACCTTGTAGAGAATATCTATCAGCACAAGGTCTTTCTCTGCTGCTCTTCCATGTGCTGGGAATAGTCTCTCTCCCCCCACCCCCCCTAAAAACTTATGATTCTTGTTCTGGCAGTCTCTGAAGCTTCACCCAAGCATGAACTCTCATGATAAAGAGGAAAATGTTCATAGCCAAGTGAATCTACTCTGGAACCAGTGCAGAACTAAAAGATGAGAGTACAAACCACCAGCCATTTAATTACATGTGTATAAACAGCATCTGTAAATAACTTCTGAATTGGAATCCCATATGTGGGATGGGCAGAAATACAAAAATACAAAAAGCTAACATGTGTAGAGACCTCCCTCCCCACTAATCTTGATTCTAATTCCTCCTCTTTAGCTAAAGGTAGCAGCGTAATTTTTAAAGGCCAGGGCAAATCGAGTATAGCAACAAGTTGTATTCCCTAGTTTTTCAATACTGCCCTCCAGGAATTGCCATCTGAAGCGGCTCCCTTGTTTTTTCAAATGCTAGGATCAGGTCCAACTCCAGCAGATATAATCCAGGAATGATTTACTGAAAGATTCTGTAGCAGGGTGAATATTTTATATCACATACCATCTTTGGGGGGAGGTTGAGGGCCACTCCACAGCAGATTTAAGATTCAATACAAATCCAGTGGGAGAATCTGAAGATTTCTATTTATTTTTTTCTATTTTATCAACCAAAGAAAAAAGTAGGAAATAAATTATACTGTATAAAGGTGTTCATGATTCTGCTTGCCTGAAGCACGCTAAATCTCTGAGAAGTTAAGAGAGTAGAATTATATTTGGTGTGTGTTGAAACATTGTTAATTGGGTAAATCAACTGGGCCTTCAGAGAGGGAAAAATTCCCTCTCCAAACCTCCCATCTTTTCCCAGTTCAAATCAATTGACTGATTCTTTGTGCCCCTAAATTCAATCAGAGTCATGGTTGTTTACAAAAATACCACCCAACAATTATAACATCATACCCTGTCTGAATGTTAAACTTTAAAAAAAAGCACAAGTAAAATTATTTCAAAAAAACCCCCACTGGACCTGTGCTAATGAGACATGGTAGTACATTGGTTAGAATGCAGCATTGCAGGCTAATTCAGCTCACAGCCAGGAGTTTGATCCTGACCGCCTCAAGGTTGACTCAGCCCTCCATCCTTCCAAGGTTGGTAAAATGAGGATCCAGATTGTTGGGGGCAACATGCTGACTCTGTAAACCACTTAGAGAGGGCTGTAAAAGCACTGTGAAGCAGTATATAAGTCTAAATGCTATAGCTATAGCTATTTAAATGCTGATTTAGTATTTGTTCAATAGAAGACCACGTTAGTTGGAGTATGTAAGAACCAATGCCAGTGTTGTTAAACCTTTTCAGCATCGAGTGCTGAAATGGGAGCACGCATGTATGCTGGAAGGTTTGTCAGGCGGTCTTCGCACATGCATGCGTACCAGAAACCGGAAGATCAGGTGACTGGTGCACAGGCACGTGCCGGAAACTGGAAGAGTAGCCGCCTGGCATGCGCATGCGCACCAGGCAGCTGCTCTTCCGGTTTCTGGTGCTCCCGTGTGTGAAGACCAGCTGGCCGGTGCACCGGAACCCAGGAGAGCAATAGGCAATGGCTTGCATGCCCAGAAAGATGGCTCTGCGTACCACTTCTGGCACGTGTGACATAGGTTTGCCATCATGGGCCTATGCCATGCTTGGCTGGTGCTTTCTGAAGTGGGCAGATGTTTCTTCCAAAGCTAAGTATGTACTCTTTTCTGTTGAATGGATGTATCCAGTGACTGGAAGAACACCTGGTCACAACCAGCAATATCCGATAGGAGATGGCAGATTGTACCATTATTTATCATGAAACAGCAAAACATTGTACTGGAAGAAAAAGGAAAACCAGCATCAAAACCAAGACTGCAAAAAATAACTTTAAGCTGCTTCTGGGATGATTTGGGGATTAGATAACGGCACAATCTTGAAGACCCATTGTTTTAAAATGGTCAAAGCAATATGGCAGTTAGTGGAAGACTTGCACTCTTTCAATCCATCACTAACCAGTCATGTTTTCTCAATATATGTAACCTTTACAAGAATAACATAGGAGAAGTTTATTGTTTTGTGATTCTTGAAGGAGAACAAGGCAATAAATGATGGAAGAATGGAAATTAAATTCATGAGAATTCTTACAATTAGCTCTGCAACACTATTTTAAAAAAACTTTCTGAAGTCCATGCATTTAACACTAACTCTTCCCTAAGGGCAAACAGGAACTTAAATCTCAAGGAGAAATAACTGTGCTATTGTTTTCTGAGTTTTTCAAATAGCTGTGGATCCCCAGCCAATCTAAGTAACGTAATGGGGGCAGTTATATCTGGAAAAAAATCAAGATGTATATTAATGCTAAAGAAATTATGTGAAGTTTGTTTCACTGAAGCAGTCAGTAGCTGAACCATAATGCAATGAGATTGCCAATTTGAAAAATAATTACAATCCATATCTGAAAATTGTAAAAAAAAAAAAAAAGTGTAATTCTGCCATACAAAGGCTTCATTTAAAAACCTTCATTAGCAATAGCTTACAAATGCAATTATAGTTTAAAGAAATAGTTTCACTGGGATATGTTTCTCCTAATAAAGAGGTTTTGGAGAAAATGGGACATGGAAAACAAAAAGATTTTGCAAACACTGAAGTGTACTTAAAATTTTGGAAAACACAGACGCTAATTCCAATTCCAATTGTATGTTATTTTTTTCGTCAAGTTCCCCTTGGAATCTAATCTTTGTTTTGCAAAGTTGCATAAAACATCGATTTGTACATAAAGTGCTATTTATTGCTTGTGTGTACTTTTCATTTATTTCTACAGAGGTTTTACATGCAAGCTCAAGGCAGAGCTTTACCTCTGTGGTATGTTCAGAACTGAAACCCTCCACTCATGGTATAATACTTACGTGGCACTCCTTGCTGGACAGAATGAGCACGGAAGAGGCATGGCGGGGTCTTTCTGCCCAGCCTTTTTAACAAATGGTCACGTTCATTCACGCTGCAAGACAAAAGGTCAAGTCAAGTCAAGTCAAACTCCAGAGGTAGATTATGAAGTACTCCCTTTACATTGTGACAGAGCAGAATTTGTTCTCTCCATTCTTCTAATACGTTTTTAGAATAAACAAAAACTTAATGAACTTTAACGTCCTCTCAATATATGGGCATACAGATTTAGTATTTCAAATTAACAGTAAGGTTCCAGAAGATTGCATTGCACACTTTTGGCCATCTGCTATGGTGTTAAGGCTACCGCAAAAGGAAAGGGCAACACAAAGTAATATAAAACATGGTAATATGTATGTTATGTTTGTCTTGTTCAGAACTACCCATCTTGGATATAATGATGACGATGATTACAAGAAATGCCTTTTTTGTTTTTCATTTCATGCATGAGCACATTCAGTCAGCTGCAACACAAATGCTAACTCATTGGATAAGAATAGCATAGTATGCTTATGGGTCTGGCGTTTATACTCTACTGTACATGCAAGTTGAAGCCACACTGATCAAAGAAAAGCTACATTTTTATGCTTCTTAGCAAAAGCAGCAATTCTGAACTGAAAAGAAAATTTGCCAAGGATTCTGCTAAACTCAGAAACATTTTGGAAAATGAAACAAGGAAGATATACTCCAGAGGTCTGTGTGAAAATACGTCCATAGGGGAAAACATAGTCCCCAAAAGATTAAGGTTCCCATGAGAAAAAGGTTTCCTTTAATACATATTATGTCCCATGTGGGGAAAAATTTCTTCAGTATCTCATTGGATTAACACCTGTGATCACCCAGTGAAGTTTTACAGTGGTAGTGTCAACGTAGACAGAAGAAAAACTAATTGACTCTCAATGTAATTGTTTTGTGGAAGTTAAGATACCATTCTGAATGCTTTTAAAAGGACATTGACACATTCATTGAGTGACATAAGTAGTTTTTCTTGTCTGTTTCTATCCATTTCATAAGTTCTATGGGAAACAGGATGTTGGGTTAATTCAACTTTGGTCAAATGCAGGATAACTCTGTTCTTCTTTTCCTTTCTGGTTCAAATATATAATTTTCTCTCTCTATTAGACGAACAATAAACATAATAGAGAAGTACTCTAAACAATTCATATCAGGAAAATGGCCCTGTCTAAATCCATAGCATTTTTTTCCAGTAGAAAAATTAACAAATTCAATAATAAGCCCATAATATATTATGTAAACTGTATGCAATTTTCTCACAAATAAAACATAAGCCCAGAAACCTGCATAAAGCATGCAAGAATAAATATGTTTTGCAGGGACCAAGTATAAAACAGCATTTAAAGTCCCCTTCTTGCCACTAAATCAGTCACCAAATTATGCAACTGTATATTCCTCTGCAGCCATACGAGTGTCTTCCCCTTGGGCATCATGGAAAATGATGAATAATGGACAGCTTGTGGACAATGATTCGTAAAGCCTTACTGAATGGATATACACTATCCAGTCAAGTCTCAATAAAATGACACAAAAGAGTCCCTTGATCTATCAAAAGTCCTCAAGGTAACTTTTAGTACATGTTGCTATTTTTTTCAGATGACAAACCTCAACCCCAAACTAGTGTTTACATAAACATAAGAGCAGAATTACAGAGATTAAAAACACTACCACCACCAGAAGGGTCAAAGGCATTTAAAACAATCTGGAAAACATCTTCCTTGTCTACAAAATATTTTTGAAAATTGTAATGTTCTCTGTAGATACTGAGCAGCGTTTAGCCCTTATCAGATGTTTTTTTCATTGTAAAAAAAAAATATTGGGAGAATGCCATAACGTACCACTTCTGTATTGCTGGCTAGAAAACTACATGGACACGTTCTGATATCCACTAGGAAATCAATCTGGCTCAAGGAAATTGTTATCTTTGTTTCTATAGCTCATGAAATATAATGGAGAAACATTGGGAAATTCCACTTTTAATATTGACTTTCTATGCCCAGGTGATGAATCTTTCTACTCTCATCAAGGAAAGAGAGTGGTGTGGGAATAATAATTCCAGAGCATCACCCAAGTTCCCAACTGACAGCTGGTAAAAAGATTTTTGTTTTTGTTTTGTCTTATAGACCCATTCCCTTCCTTTCCCCAAAGCCAAGGATCTGTAAGCCAGGGCAAGCAACATCTGTCTTGACACATTCAGAGGAAGAGCATCAAAACAAACAGAATAATTCAATCCTGACCACAGGGTCCCACTGTCTATTTGTTGGAGTAATTAAAAAAAGATGAGAGTCACCACCAATTAACCTACCAAGTGCTAATTAGTGTTAATGAGGATTCAAAGGCACTTGCTGTATCTTGACCCAGAATATCCTCCAGGGTTCACTAATTGGTGGATAATAAAAATGGGGCATAAAGTCTTAAGGTGGATAGATGCAGAAGGATGGATGGACAGACAGGTGAAGTCACACATAATATTACAGAAACTGCAGACATCCATTCAGGTCTTAAAAACATCCCTGCGGATCCTTCTTCATCAGTTTTCCACAACAAAAATAAGAACTGCCACATTGCGGAGCAATGCTAGCTGGGCATTTGTAGATAAGTTTTAAAAACTGGGGTCACTTTTAAAGTACAGAAGACTTCTCTTAGGCAAGCCTTATCCAAATGAGCAGGATCACTGCTGATTTCCTATGTGGCTAATTTCTTCTTTCTTCTTCTTTTTAGCAGGAGTTGCTTTCAAGTAAATGTGTTTTGAATTTCAGAAGCTGGAGGAAAGAAATGGGCCAGCAGCAGCCTGGGGACCTTAGCTCAGAAAAAGATAGAGATATTCAATATTAAGCCAAAAAGAAAAGGAAAACGTTGGGATAGACAGGAAAAGTTTCCTTCGTAAAACATTTGTTTTTAAAGACTGCTATACCATGAAATAATTGATATTATCTACTAAATACACAGCTGGTTCATTGAAATGAGTATATGCTCATTTCAAAATGCATGGCATATTTAAGATATGAGCCTTGCATTGACCCTCTGTTCTTTTAACAAGTGTATTATATCTTTATTACTTCTATCTATTCATCAATGGAGAATATCTATGCAATCATTAGGAATAAAAAATGATGGCACAAAACCAATTGGTCGTCTGTACACATATGCTCATTACGGACACAAATATTTATGTACATAGATACATGTGTATGCACGTAATAACTTCCTTTTGAATATCAAGTAATTGATAAATCCTATCTGTCTGTCTACCAAAAAGGGTGTTTCTATTTTCAACCGTGAGTTATATACACATACAGGATTACAACCTTAGCTGGCACAGGGAGACAGGATTTTATTTTTATTCATACTTAACAGCTTATTGTGGCAGGAAGTAAAATCCAATAAAAATTTAGGAAAGAAATATAAAGATGGTACTTCATATTCTCACAATTGTATGTGAAAAAAAATACTTTTAAAAATAGTTGCCTCTAGGGAAAATTCATGGTTTTTTTGGTTTGTTTAATTACCTCACAAACTGTTATTAGTACCTGCTGTTTAAGGAGTGTTTTCATTTAAATACAAGAAATTACTTGGCAACTTTTCTATTGTGAAGTTGCCAAATCTTTAAAGTAAACAAAAGAAAATCTAACTCTGGATTAGATCTAGGACCCTGGCTTAATAGTAATTAGATGGAGCTATTTCTAAGTCCCTTAGACTGAGAAATACTGCTCTAAACCAACTTGCTTCTGAGCACATAGCTCAGTTGTGACAAAAGTGTTCTTATGTGGATGTAAATTTTAATGTAATGGTTAGAGTCCAGGTTTCCTGTCATCCTTGAACTAAGACTATTGTAGTGAGGATGTTTGTATCACTAAGAAGCCACAAAGTATGTTAGCACTTATGTGGGAGGTAGATAGGTATTGATAGATAGGTACTGATATTCCCATATCCTGTCAAAATAAAGAGATCAGTAGTATAGCTTCCAAGGCTGGTCATACATGTCTTTGTATCAAATTAGACGTAATGAAAAATGGGGAGGGGAGAAACCAGACACAACTTTGTTTCTTGTCAGTCAGATTCAGTCTAGAGACTAAAAGGATATCAGGCTCTGAATCATGAATGAGGGAAGATCTGGTTTGTTATGCCTGATTAAAATCAAAGTGGCAGCTGGAGTAGCTGCACCTTTTGGTTGTAAGTTAAATGTTGTTTTAGCCAGAGAAAGTAACTGAAACGTCAGGCAACTGTGGTGCCTTTTCCCCCATTCGTTTTTTACAAGTTGCAGTTTGAAACATTCCACTTTTCCTTCATCGTGGAGTTTAAGTACGTGGAATTCTCTCATGTTCTTCTATGCAACATTTATCAAATTCAGATCTACTTAGCTTCATTAAAACATCTGCAACAGATCACAGGTAATTATTTTAGCCTGAAGAACCCAAAGTGGTCCAGAAAAGGGTACACAGTTTGCATAGGTACATATATACATAGCCTCTCCATTCAATCATAATTCAGATTATTGAGATAGAAAATCACTTGTGAAGGGGAGGGAACAGGTCAAGCTTCTCCACTTCCAGTAGTCATTAGCTCCTTTTGCCAAATGTTAATGAAAAATGAGACATAGCCATTTCTCCTTTGTTTTCATACCCTCTCCCCCATTACTGCCTCTGAGGCAGTTGCTGATGTTAGAATACAGCCCTTCATATGATTGTTCAAACCCTGAGATTGTTGGCAGCTACTTTGAAAAGTCCTATGCTTAATGAACTTAATGGGCAACTGTATCACACGAACACAGCCTGTCATCGCTCATAAAACGGGCTCCTGACTTAACCAAGATCTGTAGAAGCAGAGGAACCATTTTATTTTTTTTTGCAAATGTTCCCAGAGGGCTCTCATTGGGCAGTTTAGCAGCTGCAGAAGTGGCCATCTGGTCAATACAAAAGTTGGAAAGAAAACCAAGATTAGATGACAAAAGAGGACTCTGCATCTAGTATATGATTTTTCAACTTTGCTTTGAAGTCTGCAGCATACAGGAAGCATCTGAGATATTTTCAGGGCCAATAT